CTGCCTTCACTGCAGCTGGGGATACGTCCACCCTCGGCTGCTGGGTCTGCCAGAGCTCTGTCATCATTTGGCTGAAGGATGGGTAACTGGGACCAACTTCTTAAGTAATCTCTTCGTTTTCAAGAGGCAAAGTCCTGGCAAGGTAAGAATGTACAGTTCAGAAATAACCTGTTTGGTGTGGAGCCTCTGCTGACCACAAGGATCCTCCTGTGCTGGCATCCACCACTGGCTGAACTCGTTTCTGGATGGAAAGTTGTCATGGGAGGTCTCCCACAACACCATGCCTATTACATAGTGAGGAAGAATGGAAAGCCTAGGCAGAATAATCAGGTTGTGGAGGAGGGAGGAGAAAGTGAATGTCAGTGTGTGGATTGCACCACTGAAGTGAGAGCGTGGCTGCTCCTTCTGTAGGTTTCTGTCTTTTCAAGTGTCTGTCAAACTGGCCTCCTCACTGGGTTTTAACAGCTTGAGAAAGCGTGTCAAGCTTTTTTGAGTTTATGGAAAGAGAAACCTGCAGCACAGTGATACTGTCCTTGTCCTCTTCAGCTTGAAGAGCTCTCTAGTTTAGCCTCTTCCTCGCTGTTGGTGTCCCTGCTCTGGGAAGCTCCTGTTGCCCTGAGACAGGAGGCCTCAGCTGCCTGTGGCTCTGAGGGCAGATACCCCTTTGCCTGTGCCCACACTGGAGCAGGTGGTTGGACACTGTGAAGGCTTCACCCTCTTTGGAACAATGACTTGACCCAGAATTTGCAGAGGCTGAGATGTCAAGAAGTGAGTGGACCTACTGCTTAACCCTAGAAACTCACTGTCTCCCATGTCTTCAGTTTTGCCTTCTAGTGTGTGGAGTGTTCACTTTCCTGGCAGTCCTGGGCCGGTATATCCCTGGGCTCTTGCTCTCATACTTGCTGTGTAAGTAAATCTCTGTGCCAACACAGACTTACATGTGAAAGGCAGTGAGTGGGTGCCAAATGTCCAAGGAGTGGGCTCAAAAGGAAAGCTTGTGTGAATGGCTTTAAAATTTAAAACAATGCATTCTGCCAGGAATGTGGTGGTTCTTGACCAGGACTTGAAGTCTGGTCTGGTGAGATGTTTGAGTGCTTAGTAACTACAGGTCTAAGCACTAACAGGTTGGCCTCTCAATTTTGTTAAATTGGCAGAGGCGATGGCACCTGTTCTAACAGCACTGCCCTCAGTGCTCGGAGCTGCCGTGCTCTGTATGTTGTGCTGCATCACAAAACAGGCAGGATGTTTTCCAAGCAGCATCCTGAACGACCTTCTAACCTGCATCCCACTCCCTGCAGTGCTCCTGGTCCTGCTGTGGCCCCTGGCCGTGTACCACAGGCTGGGGCAGCGCATGTACCTGCGGCTGGAGCCCGTGCTGCAGCGGCTGGACTTCAGCGTCCGGGGATACATGACAGCGAGGCAGCGCGAGAGGCAGCGTGAGTTCTGTGCCCTTGCTGGCCCCAGGCTTTCACACCTGATCTTTGATACCTAGAACGGGCTGTGAACAGAGGCTCCGGCCGTGGTGGGTGGTAGGGGCTGCATGTCTGGCATGGCAAATTTTGGAACTGCCTTGGGAAGAGAGAGAGAGGCAGTTCCGCCTCTGCAGCCATCTCCTAGGGAGCAGCTGCTGTGGGCTTTTCACAGCACTGAGCTGCTCCAGTTCTAGGCTGCCAGAACTGTGTGTTCTCTATTCTGGAAAAATGGGGAAAGGCTCTGTGCGAGGGAGTTCTAAACATGTTCATTTCAGCAAAAACCCTGCTACGGCTGCAGTCAGAAATGACCATGGCTCTGCTGTGGAACAGAGCTGGCTCTGCTCTGCTGTGTGCAGTTTGGGGTGTCTGGTCCTGCACAGAGCCTTGCCCCAGCAGCAGTAACAGCTTTGTGTCTGGTTTCTAACAGTGCGTGGCCGGGCCCTTGGTCAGGAAGCCACTGACGACGGAAGTGACAGCGAAGAGGAGCTGGCTGCATTCTGCCCCAAGGTAACTGAGCTTCTGGGAGAGGGAAGAGCTCAGCTAGAAAGAGCAAACCACACTGTGGGGATGTGCAGCATCTGGCTGAGATGTGAGCAGCACATCTGGCAGCACAGCTGAGAGTGATAGGAGAGCAGATGAGGACACTGTCCTTTCAAATAGGTCTTGCCCATTCTGTTCCACGAAAGAATGTCCAGAGCTGTTTGTGCCAGCTGCAGTCTCCTAGCCTGTGCAGTAAATGTGAATGAGTCTCGGGTACCAGTCTCCCATGGGGGCCAGGTTTAGCTGGAGAACACTCCATCATCTGTTTTGTCTCGAGGCATGGGGATAACCTTTCTAGTGCTGATGTTTTCAATTTTTTCTTCTATTTTAAAGCTGGATGACTCCGTGGTTGCCAAGGAACTGACCATCTCCGACTCTGAGCATTCAGATGCTGAGGTTTCCTATACTGAAAATGGGATGTTTAACCTTTCAAGGGGCCAGACGCCCCTGACAGAGGGATCAGAAGGTGAGAGGAAACAGCTTCTGGAAGGTGTGGAATGCCAAACAGGCGCCACTGTGATAGGCTGGAGGGAGGATGTGTTCCTATCATTGAAGTCTGGCTGTTTGATGTCAGCCTTGCTGCTGGAAATGCGCTGCAATTGCCTGTTTGTTCAGAACTGAACTTCCTCCTTCACTCCTGTGGTGCTTGAGGGGAGCGAGGGCAGCAGCTCTGCAAAGGCAGATCCAGCTCTGCAAAGGCAGATCCGGCTCTGCCAGCCTGGCTGTGGGTGCTGGTGCTCCCCTCTCGCAGGTGGCTGCTTCGGCACCGGTGTTCCTTGGCAGTGAGCTGGGAGGTCAGTGAGGTCTGAACACTTGGGATGGGGGAGGGAGATGTTGAAGAGAGTGTGGTCTCTGAGCTCCCAACAGTCCATCCAGGGGAGGTGCTGGCCCAGCTCCTGCCTGGGCCTGTGGGTGCTGGTGGGTACTGGCAGTTAAAGCACTTTCTCCTCTTCCAGACCTGGATGGTCACAGTGACCCAGAAGAATCTTTTGCCAGGGATCTCCCTGACTTCCCTTCCATAAACCCAGAAGCAACTGGCATAGATGATGAAGATGACACCAGCATTGGGATCCCGAGCCTGGCGTACCGCCCACAAGGGACAGAGGATCTGCAGCTCCCATACGAGCCGGAGGAACTTGGCACACTGCCATCGGTGCAGAATCTCACCAACAACATCGCTGGCTTTGTCACCAGGGGCATGATCCAGCTGGCACTGTCAGGGGGCCCTCAGCCCGGCTCCTCACGCAGCACCAATCCCCAGAGAGGGGCAAAGACTCACCTCAGAGCAGCCAGTTTGGACTTGGACACTGACGCTGAAGGGGATGACTTTGAACTGCTGGATCAGTCCGAGCTGAACCAGCTGGATCCCACTGGCTCCCGGGGCCAGTAAACCATCTTGTCACTTCCCTCTGGTTTTCTATTGCGCATCATGGAGTGAATCCTAGAAGGAAAAGCTTTGCACAGTTCTCTCAATCGTCTCCTGTGAGTCTGGGTGATGTGACAGCCAGTCCTGGCTGGGTGTGCTGCTGCGACTTGTGATTCCGTAGCCTCGCTTGGATCTTCAAATAAAGGACACTGGCAATCTGTAGGGAAGAGGCGTTGATGGGATAGCTCCACAATCACCCTGCACTGTCTGACGTGATGCTGCCTGCTCCAAACTTTCTCTAAGACAATAAATCTGGTGTTTGCAGCTCTCAAGTCCAGTGGGACTGACAGCATCGCCAGGAACAATTGTGCACTGAGTTCTGGTGCTGATGTGTAACCAGGGGAACAGGACAGAGCCCCTCTGACGTGGTGTCTGGGACTCAGTGCTGTTCTGTCTCAGACAGCTGTTCCCCAATCCCAATATGTGCACAAATCCAAGTCTTCTCTCCCAGCAATATCCAACTCCAGGTGGAACCAAGCCCCTTGCTCCACTGTGGATGTTGTGCAGCCACAATGTTTTCCTTGCACTGGCTGCTCCCTCGGCTCCAGCTCCTTGTGATGCTGTTTTGTAAGAGCTAATGGCAAAAAGACACCTGCTGTGACCATCAGACCACCTACAAGAACATCCACGTGTAGCCCCTGCTCTTGTGTTGCTTTTCTGAACTAACAGCCTTTGTTAACAGCCAGCTAACACTTTGCTAGAAACCCCTGTGCTGCTCCAGTGTGTTCCCGTGGGCAGGGCCGAGGCTGTGCATCCCCCCGGCAGTTTTCCCGGAGGAAGTAGGAGGTGGAGCAGGGCTGACAGGGCGGTGGTGTGTCCCTGGGCCCTTGCTGCCTCCAGCCCTGTGCAGGCAGAGCCCAGACCGCCAGTGACTGAGGAGGTCGTGCCTGCCACGGTCCTGTGAACAAACCAGCAGACCCCAGGGAGAGCCAGCCCCCTGTGCCCACCGAGTGCCCCCGTTACTTTTCCTAAGCCATACAGACCTAGTTCTGATCACATTTGTGCATCCAAGAACGTACCTCGTCAGGGACCCCATTACTGGCTGCTGTTTGTCTGATTCTGCTTATCCGACTGCGTCGGCCGTGCCGGGGCTGAGGTCGGGGATGGGGGGGCGGCCTCAGCTGGGAAAGGGAGGTCGGTAACGGGTGGTTCCATACGGGCTTGAGGCCTTTCGCTGACCGAGTCCCGTGCGGAGATGGGGGCGGGAGGGAGGGCTGCGCTTCTCGCCTGTTCCGGTCGGTGAGTGCCTGGCCGGGAGTGCCCGTTCCGGTCGGTGAGTGCCTGGCCGGGAGTGCCCGTCCCGGTCGGTGAGTGCCTGCCCGGGAGTGCCCGTTCCGGTCGGTGAGCGCCTGCCCGGGAGTGCCCGTTCCGGTCGGTGAGTGCCTGCCCGGGAGTGCCCGTTCCGGTCGGTGAGTGCCTGCCCGGGGGCGCTGAGCCCCTCGCCGGCCCGGCCCGGACTCGCTCCCGCCGCGGTCCCGTTCCCGCGGGGGCGGGCCGGTACCGGGCGGGGCACGTTACCGCCGCCAATCCCGGTGTGTCCCGCCCTCGCCGCGATTGGCGGGGAGCGGGCGGCGCGCCGGAAGTGCGCGGGCGGCGCCAACCGGGACCAGAGCGGGGCTGGAGGCCCGGGGCCGCGGGATGAGCAAAGGCCGCGAGGCCGCGGCGGGCGGTGAGTGCGGGAGCGGCGGGGCAGCACCGGGCGGCTCTGCGGCCCCAGGAGGCCGCTGTGACCGGGACTGGTCCCTCAGGAGGCGCCGCCGCCGTCCTGCTGCGGTACCTGCGGGAGCAGAACCGCCCGTACAGCGCCCAGGATGCCTTCGGGAACCTGCAGCGGGAGCACGGGCTGGGCAAGGCGGTGAGCGGGGCCGGGCCGGGCGGGGCGGGGCGGGCGCGGGCCCGGCTGACGGCGCGTCCCGCAGGCCGTGGTGAAGGCGCTGGAGCAGCTGGCGCAGCAGGGCGGAGTGCGCGAGAAGGTCTACGGGAAGCAGAAGATCTACTTCGCTGACCAGGTGAGCCCCGCAACCGCCCGCCGGCCCCGCTTCCCCCGCGCCCCTGACCCGCCGCTGCCCGCAGGAGCAGCTCCCGGCCGCCAGCGATGCGGAGCTCCGCGGGCTGGACGGGGAGATCGCCGAGCGCTCCGCCCAGCTGCAGGCGCTGCAGCAGAGCTGCCGGCACTTGGAGGCGGGTGAGTGTGCCCGGCCGGGCAGCCCCGAGCCGCCGCGGGATCCCCGGGGGCACGGGCAGCTGGGCCCTGGTGCCGCGTGGCAGCCCGGCCGGTGATCGGTGCCACCTTCCCAGAGCTGAAGGACTTGAACAGCTCCATGACAACCCCTGAGATTACCAGGGAGATCGAGGCGCTGAGGAAGGACTGTGCCAGTTACACGGAGAAACTGGAGAGGATTAAGTCTGCTACCAACCATGTGACTCCAGAGGAAAAAGAGAAGGTGAAGAGCTGTGTCTGAACCTGGATCCAGGATTCAGCGCTTCCCTTACAGGCGTTGCTTGCCCGGGGCTCCTGAGCGCCCCGCGGGTGGCTCTGAGCCGGTGCTGTTGGCAGGTGTGCCGGGAGCAGCAGCTGTACCGCCGGGAGTGGCGCCGGAGGAAGCGCATGGTACCGCCTGTGCTGCGGGTGGGCACTGACAGCCCCGCTGGGGCTGCTGCCCACAGCCCTCACCTGCCCTGTCTCGCCAGGCCACCGAGCTGCTGGATGCCATCCTGGAGGGGTATCCCAAGAGCAAGAAGCAATTCTTTGTAAGTACCCAGGCTGGGTCGTGCCCACGGCTGCTGAGCCAGACCCCAAGCTTGTTCTGATCTGCTCGGTGCTGTGCAGGAGGAGGTTGGGATAGAGACAGATGAGGACCACGGCGTTGTGATGCCAGCGACCACATGAGGTGCTGGGAGAGCCTTTGTTCTGGGGAGAAGCTGCTGCGGAGCTGCCTCTGAAACTTGGCTGTTGGGTTGTTCTTTTTCTCTTTTTGCAGGACTGGCATTGGTCCTGTGTATTTATTTAGTTTTGTTTTAAATAAATGTTTTGTGGTTGGAAAGGTGGGTGGGTAGAAGTAACTTGGCACTGGCCCTCTCCTTGCAGTGGAATATAATTTTTTCCTGCCCCCAGTGCACTGAGCTGCATGGCTGGGGTCTGATGTGGCTGGGGGGACACATGGGGGCTCTGGTGCTGAGTCCCTGGTGTTCTGGTAAGGAAAGGCAGAGAGGGACTCTCTGGGCTGCAGAGCTCTGTCCATGTTCTAGCTGCTTCCTGCTGTGTGCTGGAGCGGTCACGTCAGAGTATGATCCATTAAACACCAGGATTTTGGTTCAGCTGCACATCCCTGTGGTGTTTGTCTCTTCAGAGGGTGTCAGGGCAGGGTTTAGTCCCTGAGGAGTGGGAAGGGCTGGAGCCAGGAGAGGGTAACCTGAGCCACAGGGGCTGGAATGGGCTTCTGGAAACCACCAGCTCTAGGGCACAGCTCTAGGAACTCACCATCAGAAAAATCTTTAAAACATTCAGTGAAATTTATTTAATTACTTTTCACAATAGAAAAATACATCACTTTCATGTGTGAGGTCTGTAAAATTCCACGTCTTCTTCCCAAGGCAGGAGGCAGTGCTCCCTCCTCACTGCTGGAAAAACTGCCTGAAATAAACATTCCCTGGATGTGCCCCTGGAGCATGAGCACAAACATGGTTATGGAGAACAAACCCTGCTGCTGGCAGCACCCTGCTCCCATCACTCTGGACAGTGACCAGCCCTCACCTGAGCAGAGCTGTGACCCAAACTGGGTGTGGGACAGGGTCAAACATGTCCCCGATAGCAGCTGCTTCTACAGCTGGCACAGGCAGCGCTCTGGGACTGTTTCAAAACTTACAATAATAAAAATCAAATTGAGGCTGGTCATGTAGGTATGTGTATAAAAGTTCTAAGGAGGAGCAGCAAGTGCACATGGCCATACTATGCTACAGCTGCAGAACTTTACTGTGCAGTACAGCTACAGTTTCTGAAAAGGAGAGGTGTTCCAGCAGTTGTAGGAACGTGCTCTGTTCCTTCCCAGGGACTCACAGCTGCAGCACGCTTGGGGTTCATCAAGGTCCTACCATGTGCTGCCAGGGCCACAGCTCCCAGCTCTTGATGGGCTCATCCTGCTGCCAGCACTGCCAGGCTCCTCCAAAATGCCACAGCTGACTTAAAACAGCTGCTTCAGAGAGGCAGGGGACAGCCCAGAGGGTCAGGGAAAAGCAATTCCTACTGCTATACCAGAAACCCATTGTTTTTAGTATGCATTTGTCACATTTCCCACCCTGGGGATAGCAGGGCTGTCACAGGCCTGAGGGCACAGAGTGGAGCTGCTGTAGAATCAGCTCTGCAAGGAGAGTCAGTGGCACAGGCAACCCCATGGCACTGCCTGAGCCAGAGACTGCTCCTCACCACCTTTCCCTCCCCTCCTGCCCAGTCCCTATAAAGATTTGGTGGCACCGAATGGAGTAGCAGTGTTTGCACAGCCACCGTTGGGCTTCAGAAGGAATACAATAAATAATTCAGAGAACCTTAAAAACAGCCACAAGGAGAGGGCCCAGGGTGGTACCTGGCACCCTGGCCCCTGGCAGAAGTGCCCCATCCCCACGGGCACAGCAGTGGCACGGGAGCTCAGTAGAGCTGGCTCTTCACCTTGTGTAGGACCCCGATGACAACGTCCCGCAGCGTCTGTGGCAGAGAGAGGACACGGTCAGTTGCTCTGTGGAGGGACAGCCACCCCTGTGCCACTGTCTCTGCCCCCTCAGCCATGGCACCAGCCCTTTGCAGCCCTGCTTTCACCTGGGGCTTGCAGTGCTCCTCAATCCAGCTGAAGACACATGCTGAGAGCTCCTGGAAACTCGTTACAGAGACTGAGGCATTGAAGGACTGGAACAGGGAGTCCATGATGCCTTGGAAAACATTGAACTTCACCTCGTCAGAGATCTGGTTCTTCCCCTCGTTCGGGTTGTCCTGATGAGCTTTCACAATCTGCTCATAGTTCCTGAAACAAGCAGGGCACACCAAGGTCAGCAGTGAGGTCTCCACACGTGACTGACTCCCAGCTGCCACTCCCAGCTCCCACATCCAGCTCCTGCTCCTGGTTCTGTCTCCAGATGGAGAACCAGTGCAGAACCCCGCAAGGATGTGAAGGAACAGCAGGAAGTAGAGGGCATGACCCCAAGAGCTCTTCCCTTACACTTTCATGATCTTCAAGGCCATCACATCTTTCCTGAGGGTAGAAACTTCCTCCTCCTGCTTTTTCTTTTCCTTGTGCAAGAACTGGATGTAGTCGATAGCTGAGCATGAAAACAGAGTGAGGATTTTGGAGCACACATGGACCCCCGAGATCCCCATGGGAGGTGCCTGAGCCAGGGCACCACCAGCTCCCACTGACCCAGTTCCCTTGGGGAAGGTGAGTGCAGGTAAGCAGCACCCAAGCTCCCCAGAGCCTCATCACACCAGAAGGTTCTAAGGTGCTGAACTTTGCCCTGCACACCTCTAAGGCGGAGCTTTGGGGGTTGATAGCACCTCCTTCCCTCCTGCCCTTGGGACTCACTTTTCTGGAGCACAATGGCCTTGCTCAGCTTCTGTGAGCTGATGGAGAAATCCTGCTGCTCACAGGTGGGAACGATGGCCTGCAAGTCGTTGTAGCCTTTCTGCAGGGAAGCAGAGCCACAGAGTGTGGGCTCATCCTGTAAGGCCAGGCCCACACCCAGCTCCCACAGCACAGCCCCTCAGCGCCAGGCCAGCTCCTGGCACACACTGAGCAGGACAGAGACGTGCTGGGAGAGCAGGGGGGGCAGCAGGCTGGCAGCAGCGCTCCAGCAATGCCCGCTGCCCCTTGCCTCGCTCACCTTGATGGCATCTCGGCGCTTCTGCTCGGCCTGGGTGTGTGCCCGGCGGCGCTGGTCCTTGTACGACTCCTTGCAGGACTCCTGATGGTAGTCACTGTCCTCATCATCTGTGGGGACAGAGTGTGGCTGGGGGTGGGGACACAGAGGCACGAGGAGAGGCACAAGACAGCTCCAGGGACTACTACAGCTGCAGCCAGGCCCAGCATAGCCCCCACCCCGTTCAACTACAGCAGGCTGGGCAGAGGAAAAGCATTCCAAGGAGCCTTGGCACCACTTCCCCTGTGTTCAGGAGGCAGATGCCAGCAGCTCCCTTGGAAAGATGTCAAAACCAGAGTGATTATCGACTCCAAACCCTGCTGGAAACCACAGAACCCTGATGCTGTTCCCACCACCTTTCTCCTCAGGACAGGAATCCTGCCCAGCCACGCTCACTCCCTCGGTGCAGGGCAGACCTGAAGCCCGGCATGTGCCGGATTCCCCGGTGAGCAGAAACACGCGGTCACGGAGAGCAAACCCCACCTGTGTTGGGGACAGAAGAGGCACTGGTGGAGCCGATGCTGTTGGCCCGGGACACTATGCTGCTTTTCCGGGCATTTTCCATGAAGAGTGCTGGAATCAAGAGTATCCCGGGGTCAGTGCCCAAGGTGGGGTGTGACCGGGCGCAGGGACGTGAGGGGCGTCCCCGGGCAGCCGCTGCCACCCGGGCACCTACCGGAGTCCAGGCCATTGTCGCCGTAGGCCGCGTCCACCTGCGCGGGGCCGGCGGGCGGAGGAGACACGTCAGTGGGGCTGGGGCTGGGGCGGCGACCCGCGCCCCGGAGCCCCCCGCCCCCAGGAGCTCGGTCGGCCCCAGGAGCTCCCGCCACCCCCGGGCTGCGGCTCTGCCACCGCCCCTCGCCCCGGCGCTGACCGTGTGCGCTCCCCGCTCCCCCGGCCCGGCGCTCACCCTGCCCGGCCGCCACGAGCCCCGTCCCGGCGCGCCGCCCTGCGCCCCCGCGGCACCCGGCGGCCCGGCCCGACCCGGTCCCGGCCCCACCTTCCCCCACGAGTCCTCGGCGGCGGCGCCCGGCGGCTCCGCCATCTTCCGCCCGCCGGTCATGGGACCGCGCCGCGCCGCCGGGGGGCGCCCGCGCGCGCGCCACGTCACGGGGCGGGGCCCCGAACGGGGAATCCCACACCGGGCACCGGGAGTCCCACACCGGGTACCGAACGGGGAATCCCACACCGGACACCGGGAGTCCCACACCGGGCACCGCGAGTCCCACACGGGGCCCCGAACGGGGAATCCCACACCGGGCACCGGGAGTCCCACACCGGGCACGGCGAGTCCCACACCGGTCACGGCGAGTCCCACACCGGGCACCGGGATTCCCACGCTGAGCGGGGAGCGGGCAGGGCACGGAGCGGCGCACGGACACGCAGTGCAGGAGCAGCCTCTTTACTGTCACCCAGCGGGGCTCAGCCCTGCCGGGCTCCCCCTCACCGGGCACCGCGGGACGCCCGGGCCCTCGCCGGAGCTGGCCGGGCCCGGTGCTGTCGGTCCCACGCTGCTGCGTCCGCCGGCTCATCGCGGGCAGTGGCGGCTGGACACGGCCGGTGGCGGGGCCGTCCCTCCCGGGCCGGGCTCCGGGCTCAGGCGCTGCTGCAGGAGCTCCCAGGCCTTCTGCACCTGCCGCAGAACCGGCGGGGCCGCGCCTCAGAGCCCACGGCTCGGGCAGGAGCGCTGCACCGCAGCCCCACGCCGCTTCCCACCCGGAATCCACCCCTTGTGGCAGCCTCGATGGCACCGTGACAGCTCCTGGCACACCACCCAGAGCACCCCGGGTGCTGCTGCAGCCCCGGGCTCACCTGCTGGCGGGTGACGTGCGGCTCCCAGAGGGTGCAGAGCACCACCTGTGACTGCTGCACCCGCTGCCTGTTGGTCATCTGGCTCTGCAGCCGGTGCCGAGCGGCCTCCTCGGTCAGCCCGTCCCTGGCCACGATGCGCCTCACGGCCTGGCAGGGACACAGGGGACACTCAGTTGCTTGGGGGACGCTGAGGACCAGCCCCGGCAGCAAGTGAGGGACCCAGCGCTGCCCACCTCCTCCTCCGGGATGATGGCTGTCCACACCTCGTGGACCATGTCCTGCCAGCCGGCCTCCAGCAGCACGGCAGCGTCCAGCACGCACACGGCCTTCCCTAGGGAACAAGGGCAATCCTCAGTGGGCAGCCATGGATTACAGCAGGCTGGGCTCACTCCCACCTTCCTGATGCTTCACTGCTGAGCTGAGGCTGCCACAGAGCCACCGCCCCTGTTACCTTGAGCATCAGCCTCCCTGACCCTCTCCTTCGCCATCTGGGCTATTTCGGGCCACACAATGTCCGTCAGCCTCTTCAGCTGCTCCTAGAAAGGACCACAGCAGGATTTGAGATGCAGTGCCTCACCCTCAGAACCCCTGTGTAGCCAGCCAGGAGAGTAGGGGTGTAAGCAGTCAGGGGACACCCAGGAAGAACCCACTGAAGCTGGGGAGGCGGCTCCAGCCCATCGCCGAGCACCATGAAGGTGCTTTCACACAGGCCAGAGGCTCCAATTCCTGCTGCCAGGGCCAGGGTGCTTTTCCCTGTTATTTTCCTTGTCCTGCCATTACGGCCCTGCTATTAGCAGAGATCTCAGTCTCGGCTGTGAGACGTGCTTTGCTCCACAGCACAGCAAGCTCCCTGTGCAGCAAGTCCCACAAAGGACATGTCCATCCAGGGAACCTCTTGATGTGCCTCCACCTTGGCTGGAGAAGCAGCAGAGCAGCAGGCTGAGCACCTGTAAAGGCCAGGTGCCACTGAGCCCCCTGGGTACAAGGGGCAGAGACCACTGGCTGTGTCTGTCAGGTCTGTTGCTCTGAGCTGGCTGAAGGAAAAAGTATAGAGGAGATGGGGATGGAACAGGGACAGGGATGGGAACAGGGAGGCAGCAGCAGCTGCAGGGAAACACCAGCGTATCCAGCACAGCTGCTGATTCAGCTGCAGAGATGCAATCTCTCCCACCCTGTCCCCATGCCACTGCCAGAAAATACAGCCAGGAAGGTGTCACCGTCTCAAAGGGCTGAAAACTCAAAACCCCTGGCACAAGAGAACAGCCCCCACTCACAGCATTAAGTATTTACAATAAACCTGCTTTTTACCTGGTTTCCAAACACTTTGGCCCCGAGGACTTTCCTGTTAATTGTTCCATCTTTGTTCAGGATCTCTGCAAGGCAGAAGCACAACAGGTTTGGGAGGGACAACTCCCATCCCTGTGGCAAGCCTGGGCTGGGGAAACAGCTTTGGCACAGGGCTCTCAACAGCACGCACAAACACCTAACCTGGCAGATCTTCACCTGATTCCTGAAAAGGACAGCAAAAAGCTTTTTCCAGGCAAACAGCCTGGTTCATCGTTCCCCACCAGCAGCTCTGACAGGGGACACACAACACTTGGGGAGCCCAAAACCCATGGAGGGGGAGGGGGGCACAGGCCAGGGCTCTCTGGGACACTGGGACATCCCTCCCTCCCCTTCCTCCTCCCTGCGGCCTCCAGTGACTCTACCTGCCCCAAAGGCTGCCACCACCGGCTCGTAGGCCGGGCCACCAGGGACATAGACGGCGTGGCCCAGCTTGTCAGCGTCGATGACGAACGCGCCCAGGTGCCCCAGGAGTTTGGCAATGGAGGTTTTCCCACTCCCAGTTCCCCCAGTCAGCCCAATCACGTACGGGCGCAACGGCAGAGCTGGGTGTCGCTGCGGGAAAGAGGAAAGCCGTGGCAACAGACGGAGAACTGGGCTTTGCTGGAGAAGGATCCTGACACCTCAGCCTGGAGGTGGCCATGAAAGGCTCTGAGCCTGCAGAGCAGCAGGCAGCCTTTCCAAACTCCTCAACTCCCGAGACTCCCACCCCTCCTCCCGGGCTCTCCCATTGCCGCTGTGGCTCTGCAGGCCCCCCTCACCCGTGGGGGCTGCAGCAGCGTCCCCAGCAGCCTCTGCCGGAGGCTGGAGGAGCTGATCTTCTCCTCCTCATTCTGACTGTGGTCGGGGTCTTTCATCAATTGGATTTCATACAGAGCCAGCTCAGCGAGCCCCTAATGAGAGAAGGGAGCCCCGAGAGCTGTCAGCCATGAGAGTGCAGCAGAGGGAAGGGGCAAATCAAGGCCAAATTTGCCCCCAGGCAGTATCAGGCAGGGTGAGAAGGTGGGCGGGGGTAGCCCACCGGGCTCCAGAGTGGGAATTACGTTTTCAAGTCTCTTCCTGTTCACAGCCTCCCCTCCCCGGTGGGTCTCCTCACTGACCACCAGGCACTGCAGGTCGGGGTCTGTGATTGCGGGGCCAAAGGGGTCGGCCAGAGGCACGATGTCGTAGCACAGTGAGGGCTTCACATCCTCCAAAAACTCACGCAGCTTCGCTGCCCGCAGCTCATACGGCTCGATCAGCTCTGGCAGGACCTTGTCTGCCGGGTGCCAGGAGGGCGGAGAAGCACAAGAGTGACGGAAAAGCAAGACCAAGAGATGGGAGAAAACACTCGGCTGGGACTTTGAACGCTGCCTCCCCCTTCCCTTGCCCTCACTGCACCTGCACACCTTGCCGGTTGTGGACAGGACAGCGGGTCCCCCCTGGATCCCCACTGACGCTCTGCCTGGATGGCACCGCCTTGGGTGGGGGGCTGCCAGGACTTGACTTGTTACAGGGCCCCCAGACCACTGCCCTGCCCCGGGGAGCACCGGGCTCAGCCCTCGTCCCCGCGCAGTGCCACGGCCGCCCCGGACTCACGGCGGAGCAGCTCTCCGTCGGCCACCCCGGCCAGGAGCCGCCGCCGGGCCAGGAGGCAGCAGGCGCTGAGCAGGAGCCGGTGCGCGCCGTGCAGCCGATCGAAGGTGCCGCCAACCGCCACGTCCAAGAACTCGGGGAGCGCCGCGTCGGGATCCTGCCCGGGGTCCCCCTCGGGGTCCCCCTCGGGGTCTCCCCCGGTGTCCCCCGCGGCGTCCTCGCCCAGCAGCAGCGCGGGCAGGCTGGGCGGGCAGCCGTACGCCGCCGCGGCCAGGCGCTGCAGCCCGAGCTGCACCGGCTCCGGCGGCCCCGGCGCCTCGGCGGCGGCCGCCAGCAGGACGCGGGGCTGCCGCGCCAGGCGGCGGCCGGGCCCGAGCAGGACGCGCAGGTCCAGCCCCCGCCGCGCCGCCGCCGCCGCGTACAGCGCGGCCAGAGCCCGCAGCAGCGCGGGGCCCGCGGGCGGCGCGGCGGGGCCGGCGGCGGGGCCGCCCAGCCGCAGCCCCGGCTGCAGGTGCACGTACAGCGGCCCCGCCACCAGCCCCGCCGCCGCCGCCACCAGCCCCGCCGCCCGCCGGGGCAGCGCGGGCAGCGGCGCCGTCAGCACCAGCAGCCCCGAGGCGAAGGGCGGCATCGCCCCGCCGGAAGCGCCGCCGACCGGAACGGGGCCGGGAACGGCGCCGGAACAGCTCCGCCTCCCGGGCAGCCCCGCCGCGGGCGGGAGGCGCGCTCGGCTCCGCCCGCCGGGGGAGGAGACCGGCCGTCCCGGCCCCGGTGCGGAGCGAGCCCGGGGGTGACGGGGACGGAGCCGGAGCCGTGCGGCTGCAAAGGGCTTTATTGGGGACACGGCGGCACCGAGCGCGCGAACGGGCCCGCGGTCCCGGTGTTGCGGTGGCTTTGCTCAGGGCTGGTCCCCGCCGGTCTCGCTGCTGCCGAACACGAAGTCGTGCATGGCGCGGACGTACTCGGAGCCGTCGGGGCTGCTCAGCCGCAGGCGCCAGAGCGGGGCGAGGAGCTGGGTGCTGGCGCAGCGAAGGGGTGGGCAGGGGCTGCCGATGGCCTCCAGGAACACCTGGCACCGCAGACGGGTCAGAGCCCTCCCTGGCACGGCCCCACGGCCACCCCCGCCCCGCGGTGACCGACCGGCAGCACCTCCTCCACCTCCTGGGCCGTGTCGCGGAAGATGCTCTGACAGTGCCCCAGGTACCGGCGGTACAGCCCCTGTGTCTCGGCGTCCAAGCCCCGCATCTCGCTGCCCTCAGGGTCGGGGCGCTGCAGGTTGGCCAGGAAGCTGGTGTGGACGGGCCCGCACTCCACCAGCGTCAGGCTGCGGGAGGGAGCGCATGAGCTGCCACCGTACCCCCGCCCCGGCACTCCCCCATCCCGGTGGGCACGATCCAGCCCTCGTGGCATCACCGGCACTCACTGGATGTTGAAGGGGCGCAGGACGATGGCCAGACTCTCGCACAGCCCCTCCACTGCAAACTTGCTGGCACAGTACACAGCGTTGAAGGGCAGCCCTGGGGCAGAGCCACACCCTGAGCACCAGAGCTCTTTCCCACAGCTCCCCGTGCCGCAGAATGCTGGGGGTCCCACCTTGCAGCCCCCCGATGCTGCTGGAGACTATGATCCGCCCGGCCCTGCGGCTCTTCATGGCTGGCAGGAACGCCTGGATGGTGCGGACAGCCCCAAAGAGGTTCACATCGAAGAGAGTTTTCATGGCCTGGTCGGAGCAGGTCTCCAGCGGTCCCATCAGTCCCACCCCTGCATTGCAGACTGCCGGGCATGGTGCGGTCAGCTGGGCACAGGGCAGCCAGCCAGTGACAGCCCTGCACACCACCGAGTGCCAGAAGGCAGAAATGGGGGGGCTTTCCCTGCTGATGGGCCCTTGGCACCCCCAAATCCATCCACTGCATCTCTGCCCTGCTAAACACGTCCTATCCCAGCCCTAAGGACTGCCTGCACCTAATTTGGCTTCTCCTCCTGGTGCCTTGGGGAGGGTTGTGACCCCAGAGATGTCCCCTCAGCCACCCCAGGGACACTGGGGCACCAGGAAGAGCCGTACCCAGCACATCCAGCCGCTGTCCCTGCACCCGCTGTGCAGCAGCTGCCAGCGAGCAGGGGTCAGTGACATCCAGCTGCAGGAGCTCCAGCGTGTCGGGGCAGCAGCCCCCCAGGCGCTCCAGCAGCCGCTCACCCTTGGCCAGGTCACGCATGGTGGCATAAACTGGGGAGAGAGCGTGGCCGTGGGCAGCAGTGGCACCGAGCTGCAGGGCCAGCACCCAGCCCAGCCCACCCCAGGCTCTGTCTCTCCTTGGTGAGGAGAGCCTGGCCCAGCCCGGAGACCCCTTTACCAATCCCCTTTACCTTTGAAGCGGCGAGCGGGGTCGGCTGCCAGGCGTGCAGCCAGCCCCAGGCCGATGCCTGAGGAGCAGCCCGTGATCAGCACCGTGGTTCTCTCCATGGCTGCAGTGCTGCCCAACGCACCCACGCCATTTAAGAGGGCTGGGAAGGGGGTCCCCCCGCCCCACGCCACTGTGTTGTGTCTGCTGCCTTATCTCAAGGCCCCTCCACCCACCTCCCTGCGCATGCCTGGGGCTCCCTGTGCCTTGATCCTGGTGCAGGTGCTGTGATAAAGGCTCCACCGAGCCAGGACCTCCCTGCTGGAGGAGGCTCTGGGCCATGAGGGGAGCTGCAGCCCCAGGGGTCTCCCCCAGCTGTACTTTGCTGTGCCAGGCATCCTGGCTGCCAGGACACTCTGGCAGGGTGTTGGTCCTGCTGGGCAGGCTCAGGGCTGAGCTGCTCCTCTGCCCCCATGTTCCACACAGTCCTGTGCTAGCAAAAGGAGTTGGACACACATGGGAGGAAAGAGTCTGTATTTGCTCCACAGCTGGACTCTGCCTAAGCCCCAGCTGTGGAAAAGGCCTCAAAAACTCCATCCTGGGGAGCACAGCTCCAGCAACACTGCAGGCAATGCTGCAAAATCTTCTATGATAAAAAAGGCACTAAATGTGGGCAGGGCCATGCAATGCCGTGTCCCCACAGGCACTGGGGTCCAACGCTGCTCTACCCATCTGCCTACTGCCACCTCCCTGTCTGCTTCTCCCCCATCACTGCCCCTGCTAACCAGCCAAGGCCCCACAGCAGGGACACATTTGTCCTGTCCCTCTGCAGTGTCCCACTAAGCTTCCAGCTACAAACACTGGGGCAGCCCAGGTTTCCTGGGAACAGGCTCAAGGCAGCTGGGCAGAGCTGAGCACAGAGCACAGAGCACAGGACCCTGGGGCACAGCCTCCCCCCGACCCCTCTGCCAGTCCTTTGTCCATGTGCCAGCCCCCCTTGGGGCACATCCTGCCCATGCAGAGGAAGGGGTGGATCCAGGCTGGCTGAGGGCCACCAGGGCCCTGTGCCCCTCTTCCAGTACAGCCAGGACACAGCCATCAGGCCAGGAGCCCAGATGGGGGAGGGTGCAGGGGCTCTATCCACCCTCTCTGGAGGCAGAACCCACAGTCACGCAGGCCCAGCCAAGCTGTGCCGCAGGGCGCTGGGGTAGTATTTGAGGAACAGCTTCCTGGAGATCTCCATCGTATCCCCAGATGGCACAGCTGGGTAGCGCTTCTTGTTGTAGATGAAGCCTCTCTCCACTTGGAAGACAGCCTGGTTGAACTGGTCCTGGTGGAAGGGGCGGCCTGAGTTGAGGCTCTCCACCAGCACAGAGACGAAGAGGCTCCAGCGCACGGCGTAGTAGTCCAGCACCAGCCCTCCCAGCTGCTTGTTGGCATAGTCCAGAATGTTCCCGCTGGGCCCCCAGAGCGTCACCTGGTTCCGGGCATTCAGCTCGTACTGCTCAGCCTCCTGGTCACTGGTGGCCACGGCACGGGCGCTCTGCAGCCAGCGGCCGAGCAGGAAGAGGCTGTGGCTGGACAGGAGGCTGTCCAGCTCTGGCAGCAGGTCGTACACCAGCACGCCGCCGGCCGTCAGCAGCTCGGGCAGCGCGTGGCTCTGGAAGGCCTGGCGGATGCTCAGGTAGTAGTGGCTGACCAGCTGCTGGGCCGCCTGCCGCGTCACGTCCACCAGGTCGTAGAGGAAGGCGGGGCTGGAGCCCAGCTCGGCGCCAGCGCTCAGGAGCAGGCGCCAGGCCTCGAACACGTCGCTGGCGTTGTACCAGAGCTCCGTGTCCATGCGCAGCGAGGGCCGGCGCACCAGCGGGCTGCGGTTGTGGTTGACACACACACCGGTGCAGTTGTAGACGCTGCGGAGGAGCAGGCGCCAGGCGCTGGCCGCGGCGGCGTTCGGGGCACCGTAGCGGCGCTCAGCGTAGCGGGTCACCCAGCTGGGCAGGTCCAGGGGCTCCTGCCGCCAGCCCAGCTCGTTCATCAGCTCGTACACCATGTCGTTCTGCTCAATGCCCTCGGGCACCAGCCCCGTGCCCACCATGGTGGAGTTGGGGAAGCGCCGAGCTGCAAAGGGGCCGTGGTTGATGGCCTCCACAGTGCCAAAGAGGCCGTGGTTGCCTCCGAAGTTGTGCAACATGCACCAGATGAAGGGCTGTCCATAGAAGGACTCTGTCCATTGGTAGACGGGCTTGGACTCAGCAAAGAGGTCGAGAACAATCATCCTGCCGAGGGGCACTCCGTGCAGCAGGGCCCGCACCTGTGCTGGCTGCCAGAAGTCAGGCTGGTGCTGGAAGAGCCAGCCCTGCATCAGCCACAGCGCCTTGGGGTCAGCTGGGGGCAGAAGAGCACTGAGTGAGATCCTCTCCAGGCAGGGCCCACAGGTGTCTCACAAGGCCCTGGGGCCACCAATCACCCTCAAGGGGGTTTTGGGGATCTGACACCAATGGGTTCTGTGCTTGAATGGGGCCCACAGCCACCTCCCCCAGCCCTTGCTATCCCACCTGGACCCCTGTGGCCAGGCCAGCACCACACACGGACCCACCTCCCGTCATCGACCTGAAAACGGCATTGCTGACCCTCGAGAGATAGGCAGGGTCAGAGGAGAGGGGGGTCATCTCGTTGAAGGTGTCTGCGCTATAGACGTGGTCTGTGCCAAACTCCTTGATCAGCTCCTTCAGGAACAGGGTCCCGATAACCTGGAACATGGGGTCCTCTGGGTCCAGCAGGTAGATGCACGAGTAGGTGCAGTCGAAGTGGCTCCAGTGCCCCAGGCGAGTGGCATTCACACGTGGGAAGACTCTGCAGCAGAGGGCAGAGACGGGGATCAGGAGAAGGACGAGACCACCATGTGAGGACAGGGCAGCCTCCCAGGGAAGCTGCAGTGGGAGTGAGACCCCGGGAAGGGCCCAGGGCTGCACCTACCGAAGGATGCCCTGCGGCACGTGGCCCGCAAAGGCTGGCAGCACCGTGGTCATCCCCAGCGAGCGCATCCGCTCCACGATCCGGTACTGGGAGAGAGAAGGAAGGAAGGAGCAGAAGGAGAGAAGCCCGCACGTTCCCACGAGGGGACCCCGGGTGCTGCTGCAACTCGGGGCAGAGCAGGGGGCTCTCCGAGGCTGTGTGAGGGCAGCCTCGGCCAGGGGGACCAGGGGGTGACAGGGGTTTGCCCCGGGCGGGCGGGGCCGCCCCCGGTACCTGCAGGTAGAGCTGCTTGAAGTGCCAGGCGGGCGGCAGCGGCCCGGCCCAGCGGCGGAGGTTGCCCATCCTGTTCCAGGCCAGGAACGCGGGGCCCGTGAAGTACTTGTCGATCTCCGACTGGTTCAGCCCCAGGTTACGGTAAACCTGCGCCGGGCGCCGGGGGTCAGGCGGTCCCACGGCTCCCGGTTCCAGAGGTCCCGCCACCGCCATCCTGTCGGTCCCGGTTCCGATGCCCTCCCGGTCCCCGCCGCCCCTCGCCCCGGTCCTCACCCGCTGCCAGACCGCCTCCTGCCCCGCGAAAGCCGGTGCCAGGTTGATGCCGCTCAGCGCCATCCAGTCGATCTCCCGCTCCCAGCGCGCCCAGTCCCACCAGGCGAAGGAGTAGCTCTGGGCGCAGACGTTCTGGTAGTACCGGTACCTGCGGGAGCGGCGGAGGCTGCGCCCGGGCCCCCCGCGCCCCCCGGGCCCCGTTACATAACAGCGCCTTGTCCCGCGCTAACGAGGCGTGAGCGGCGCCCGGCCCCGCGTCCCCGTTACCTGCCGGGGGCGGCGGCGCGGATCTCGGCCCGCAGCCGCGGCAGCGGGTCTGGCAGGCGGAGCTGCGCCCCGGACCAGGACAGGTGGCAGCCGCAGAAGTCCCGCAGGTAGCGATAGAGGCCGGCGGCCGCCGCCACGCCGCTGGAGCCCGCTACGGCGACGGCCACCCCGGCGCCGGGAGGCGTCCACAGCCGGTAGATGTCAGGCCCGCCAGCAGCCAGCGCCGGGTCCACCGACAGCGACACGGCGGCGGCCCGCGGGCCGAGCAGCCGCCGCGCCAGCGCCCGCACCGCCTCCTCCTGCCGCGCGTCCCCCGCTCGCCCCGCCGTCACCGCCAGCAGCAGCAGGAACGGCAGCGCCAGCCCCGGTACCGGACCCGATCCCGGTTCCGGTCCCGGTTCCGGCCCCCGCCGCACCGCCATCGCCGCTGCCTGCCCCTGCGCCGGGCCCCGCCTCTCCCGGTACGGTCCCGCCCGCCGCCGGTCCCGCCTCTCACGACCCCGCGGCGCTGGGCGGTGCCGGCGGGGGCCGGGCCTGCTCCGTTACCGGCGGCCGAGCGGAGCGGTCCGGACCGCTCGGAGCAGGGATGTCCCGGCCGGTTGGGGACAACCGGGGCGGGCTGGGGACAGGCGGTCCCTGAGCCCCGGGACCACTGCGGCCCCTTCCCCGCCCGCTCCCGGTGCCCGAGCAGGGACCGGATTTGCAGCTGCTGCTCGGGGCGGCGGGACCCCTGGGGCTCCGGGGTGTTTTCAGTCTCGCGTTTTCCGCGGTGACAGTTCCGCACCACCGGGGTAACCGGGCCGCGGCGGCCCCGCCCATCCACCAGCCCGGGGCTCCCGGGGCCGCTCCGGCCGGCCGGGGGCGCTGCGAGACCGGGCAGCACCGGGAGCGGCCCGGCCCTACCGCCGAGGCAAACCCAGCGCGGAACGGGGCCGGGCGGGCTCGGGGCTCCCCGAGCACCCCGTGTGCCGCCCACGGGGGGCCGGGGCCTCCTGCCAGCACCAGGGCTGTGCCTGTGACCCCAGAGCCGTGGAAACGGGCAGAAACGTTGCGATTGCACGGGAGAATGGTGAAAGGGGACAGAGAACATTCCCCCGGTCCGCTAGAACCTACAGCTGCGGGAAAAGCATTCCCCGCACCGGCGAGAAGCCGGTTCCCCGTCCAGGAGGTGCGGGAGGATGGGGCCGCATCTCAGCGCGGCTTCTCACCCTCCCGGAGAGATCAGGAGATGGGAAACGCACGGACATGAGCAACACAAACACCGAAACCCCGCAGAACCCTCCCTTCCGCTGCTCCCGCACATGAGGAAGCCCTGTCCGGCAGGAAGGGCCTGAGTAAACACGGCCCAAACACGGCCCTGAGGGGGCAGCGGGTCCCTGGGCCGGGGAGGGCAGGAGGAGGGCACAGCCCCGGGCACGCAGAGCGCGGTGCCCACTGCACCCGGGTTAAACAAGCCAGAACTTTTCCCCTGCACAACTCATCATTCCACCCAGTTAGGGGTCCATCAGGGAGGGCAGGAGGCCCCAGGATAAATGGCCCTGGCCTTCGCTCAGGGTATCGCTGGGGCTCAGAGGCATCGC